TATAGGTTTCATGATATTTTGATTTAACCCTTAACTGGCATCGCAAACTTGACATGCGTAAGAAACAAACATTCTATGGGGGTCGCTCGGTCGCCACGATACCAGTTAAGTATTAAATAACAAATTTACATAATAGGCAAACAAACCGTGGTCAAAATATTTTCGAAAACCTTCAACTCTGCAGTATGTATGCATTGCATAAATACATATGTACATAAATACATATACGTACATACATGCATATGGAAATACATATAAATATGAATGTTGCATTTGCAGACCAAATTTGTTTTCTTTATTTGTCTTATTGTCTTTCATGAAAAAAAAATACCGGAACGCTTAAATTATCACAACAGACATGTGAGCATATTTCAATAATAAATATGATACCACTGGAAATGACATATCCTATTTCATTCTACCTGCTTCAGTAAGTGCATACATACATATAGAGGCATATTTCCATATTTAAAAATTGACTCGGCATAAATATGTATGTACGTAATTTACACATAATTATAGGTCGTTATAAATGCATATCATCGCTTTTGCTGCTGCATAACTAAGTAAATAAATATCAATCAAATTTTGAAATTTGACAATTTTTGATAATTTTTTATTTTCATTTTGGAATTCCTGGCTGTTCTTCGAACTTTTCATATTTTTAGATGTGTATTGTAAGTAGTACTTAGTAAAGGATTTAAACATTTACGTGGATAAATATATGGCATATTCATACTCACATACATATGTGCATACAGTGGCGGTCAAAAATGGATGGATCGTTTTTAATATTTGCAATGTTAAAAAATCCGCCAGCAAAAAAAAAAAAATATATTTCATATTTTTGCAGCATAGTTTTAGTCGCAGTTCTTTTGATAAATAGTCAATCTTGACAAATTGTCAGAGGAGTTACGCTACATATAGAATTATATGATGGTAGAAAGTTGTAAAAGTCTATGGGAGGAAGTAGGAAACCGTAACAGAGTTAGATTGTGATGGCTTGCAGGTCATGAGGGATTTGATGGCAGCGAAAGGACTGACATTCTCACGAAGCACGGAGCTTAACGCGACCGGCATGGTCCTTAGCCTTTCTCGTTTGGCAGCCATTGAAATATTTTCCCGCCGGAGCCGGCATAAAATTGAAGATCACTCCACAAATTTAAACTTGAATAGATGCAAACCTTTGTTTTTGTAAAGGAAAACCAAAAAAAAAAAATCAGATAGCCAAACAGAAAAGTCCGAAATTATCACAAAATTATCAAACACCATAGTGTCCACTGCATAGGAAAAAACAGAAAAAGCTAGGGGATAAGCTCTGTCTTGTAATTTTTTCGAGTATTTTTTTTTAAGTACGAAACTTGAAAAAAAAAAATTTAATAGAACTTTAAGTCATATACTTTCCAGATAAGCAGATATGTCTACATAACTACATATAGTACATATACGAGTAAATATCTAATTCTTGTGATCGCACATCAGAGTAGTACATGTTAGAAAACCAAACTATTCGCAATGAATCGGTGAATGAACTTATGACAATAAATAGACTTCATTCGTACATACAATACGTTAAACTTTGAATGTTAAATCGCAATTCGTATTTGTTACATTTTGGCCAAAAATAGTAATAGTATGAATATACATATATACCCTACCTAGACCAACCTAATTAATTAAATTGTTCAACTTATGCCATTAATTCGGAAGTTAAGTATTCATGCTGTGTGTTCGATTACTATTTTAATAGCCTGTATGTTTGCATTTTGGTAATTACATACATCTTTATTATGTA